TAAATATTAATTTCTAAAATTCTTATATTATGAATTTTACATCTATAAATATAAATTATTTCGTTAATCTATAAATCTATTCTCTTGTTTTTTTACTGCAATATTTATGAAAATTCCATTCACACTATCTTACCATTACAAATCGAACATCGCTTCAGCCCTGATTGTCTTTTTGTTTCAACTTTCAAATTCATTTCCCCTTTCTCCTGCCGCACTCCTCCCCTTTCTCAGCACCACCCTTTCTATTAATCCCATCATCCTATCTTTCTTGCAGCATAAGAAACCGTCCCACGACGAGTGCCTTCCTTGTCTGCTACAAAAATATCCTCTTTTTTTGCCTGTACCTCTCGCAGGTTATACGCAGAGGAAACAACCTCCAACTTCCTAGCCTAATTTCCTGTTCTTTGCTTGATGCTTTTCAGCGAGCTACGTCATCAAGTTTCGTCTCACTATTTAGCATCTTATTCTATCATTCCCTTGATCCGGCCTCGCTTTGCCGAGTAGGAAGTTCGCATCGTTCCACACCTTTCGCTAGTAGTTACGCCAGCGGACTCGACCTGTTGATGCAACCCAGGTTTCTCTTTTTATTTTGGCCACCCCTCGCACGTCGGCCCTATTCACTCGGGGCTGTGCGCATGCGAAACATACGTCCGGTTTTTCCCAATTTAGTGCTCCAAGTCCTTTTCTGTAAGTCAATATCCTAACTAGATGTATTTAATGATGAGTATAGCCCTCGCAATTTTGCCGCACATGAACCCCCACGTCTCCTTCACGAGGCCGCACCGCTATTACCTCGAACTACGTTTGACTGTGATCGCCACCTCTGGTGACTGGGTCTATAGCAATTTCACCTAATACCTTCGAAATCATTGCGCCGAATGTTCGCACCCATTGTCACGGCAACTCCACATGATTGACGCAAGGGTGGAGCTCGTCGTATGGCGAATCCCCTTAGGCAGGTTCTGACTGTTGAGCGGGGAAAAAATCGGATGGACAATTGACGAAAGCACTTGTCGCAACTCAATCTGTCTACGAGGCCACGACCGCGGTTAAGAAAATATGCGCGGCCTGACAAGCAAGCATTCCACGCTCCTGGGCGTCGATTGCCACGATATTTATTTTTACGATCCCTGCCAAAATTACGCAGGATAGAATTAACTTAGCGCTAACTCATAGACCTTAGGCACTTGTTGGGGGCGTTAGCGAACTATCCAGAGATCATTGAATGAGCACAAATGAGGCATTCGAAAGTAGTGTATTTGGAAAGTCAATCAAATATCCTGTAATTAGGTACATATAAGCAGTGTCCTCAAGGAAAATTAATCTTACCTACCGCCGGCAATCTGATCCATAGCTTGGTCCGGTCCTGACCGAGAGCAGATGTGCCTCAAACGAAAACGGCTAGGAGCGGGATGTGCGAGGCGACTTCGGACAACCGCACCCATGAGATATAGTGAGCCACCAGAACTCGTCTAGGGTATATATGTGGACCGGTTTCTCCTC